AGTGGGAGAACTTGCACAATTGGTGGCTGACTAAATACTTTTTTGCCCCACTGTATGCTGCCTTGTGTAGTACAAAATAGAGGCAGGAAATAATAATAATAATAATTAATAATAATAACAACTACTACTACTACTACTACTACAACAATATGATACAGATTAAAAACAAATTATACACGTGTCAGTGTGTGAGTGCATGTGTATGTTTATTATATAAATGCATATATTTGAACAAACATATAAATGAATATAGTTTTTCAAACACAGAAAGAGTTGGTACATCCTGCATAGAGGTATAAAACTGGGCAACCCAGGATGATTCTATTAAATGATGTTCAGACAGGAGAAGCAACAGATAAGTCATGCTCTCTGCCAGGGAATTTCTTTAGAACACAATGGATAAAAATCTGGGATACCATATTGAAAGACCAGTAAAGGATTCTACTCAGCTGTCCCCACAAGAACATTGGTATAAGGGAGTATTTTTGTGATGTCCAGAGAAGGTAGTGCATTCAGCCTGGTCAAATTGAAGACCTAACAAAATTTCAAAACTCTGATGGTGGAGAGAGAGAAAGCTGCACATACCCATTTGGAAAGACCCAACATCCTGTGAGGCCGGGAACCAGTCTTGTTTGATTTGAAGCTTGATGTCTCAGATACACTGGTTAAGAATACTTCTGGTTTTGAAATTTAATGAATAGAGGCACTCCAGCCCGAGCCCTATAGGGAGTGAAGCTTGTCAGACTGCTGTCCCTAAAAAGGTCTTGTCCTGTCTCTTTATCAAATTAGTCTGCTCTGTTTGTGGAGCATACAGAAGGGTCTTTGCAGTGAATCAGACAGGGCAGTGTTTCAGGTATCCTGGCTGCAGTCTGCTTGGGACTTTATAAATAGGATCTGATATCTTGAAATTTGTCACAAAAAGAATTAGTAGTTAGAGCAGTTCATGAAAAACTAGTGTATATCAACAGAGAGGGTGCTAGAAAGCAACCTGGCTGCTCTATTCCCCACTAATTACAGTTCTCAACATGAAGTCCCCATTATATCCTGTTTCTAAAATACCAGGTACAAAAGCTTGAAGTTGTTTCCTGAACAGAAACTCTGTATGAGGGAGATAGTGCTCATATAAATTTCTCCTTGAGTATCAAGCATAAGTTTCAGTTCCAAGAACCAAGGTAAACATATTTGAAAAATCAGGAGTATGGTAGTGCCTTTTCAGGCACATTTAATAAAATGTGCCTTAATAACACATTTTATTAAAAGGCATAAACTTTTGTAAGCTACAGTTCCCTTTATCAGGTACATCGGGTGGGCAAACTGATACAGGATTTCAGTTGGGTTAATATGGGGGGGGAAGACAGAGTGCTTTTGCAGATACAGGTTACATTTTTTAGCCTTTTAAGCCAAGTAATATAAACTAAGTTAGCTCCTTCATCTAAGATTAACTCATGGAGGTTTCTTATACTGAAACATGGGTACAATTTAAATATGACGCTTTGCTATCATGGCAGGTCAGTTTACTGAGGTTAGAGAAAGATTCAGAAAAAAAAGATTGTGATTATCTGTTCTTTCTCCTCCTCATATCTGGCACCTTTCATATTAAAAACACACAGTGATTAGCCAGTGACAAAAATATTTCCTTTACTCAACTAATTGATGGCCAGTTTATCAAAAATAAACTGTTTGGGGCTAGTGCTAAAACCTTTCAGCATTGGCCAGTCTGAGCCCCAAAAGAAGAGTATTCAACAGCTGGTTTGCCAAAATCAGGAAAGACTTGTCGGTTCCAGAAATCCACGTTGTTTGGTGATTGATGGTATAAATCTGAAGCAAATCTGAAGTCACGGGTAGTTCAGTGCTTTATATGTCAAAACAATACCTTGAATTGAATTTGGTTACAAGTAGCATATATAAATGTATACAAATGTATTAATACATTATTTTATTATAATATTTTCTATATGTATTGTAGAAATAAAATTCATTTTTTTAAAAGCAAAATTCAAACATTTTAAGGAGGCATTTGTCAGACTTCCTTTCTAGCCACCCTAACTCGAAATAGCTAATCCAAAAAAAAAAAAAAAAGTTCTCAGAACTCTGATTAGTAAGTTTTGTTAAAAAGAAGATTAACATTTCAAGATCAGAATTCCAGTGAGTACTCTTACTTTCAAATGAGATATCTATATAATGCAGACTAAGGCAGCAAGATTCTGGTTCTCACAACAATAATTCTTTCAGTTTGTGTGTAATATAGTATCTTGTTTTTAAGATAATGATTGTAATACTAGTGTGGTTTTTGGTTATTTGCAGATAAACCGCTTCAATAAGGTAGAAAATCGAGCAATTTTTATAACTGACAGGCATCTTTATAAGATGGACCCTACAAAGCACTACAAAGTGATGAAAACTATCCCACTATATAATGTAAGTATTACTCTGTTAGCTTCCTGAGTATTTTCTTTGGAATTTATTTTTTATTCGTTGCAACTTGCTAATTCTTTCATGCATATATGACTAGGAAGTCTCCATTTGTTGTACTGTTTACTTGCTATATATCATTTCCAGTAGTTGAAGATCTCAGCAGGGTTTAGCAGAGTGTGATCATCTGACATTTTAAAATAATGTGAGCAATCCCAACCAGAGAAGTAGATCTTGAACCCCAAATTATCCAAACGTTGCTTTTAGCTACAGTACCTATTCATGCATTACAGTCTCCATACTTCTCAGTTTAATCATACAGTACTGGCCGAGCTTCCCCCTGCCATTTCCTGTTGTCGTCATCACAAATTAAAAGGCCAGAATTTATTTTAAATTTATTTCTTTATTTTAAAGCAAGAACAGTGATATCATCTGCAATATATGTCATGAATATATGTTAGTCAATAGCTTCTCCTCTTAAAAATTAATATATGTTAGTCAATAGCCCTAGTATTATTCTTCCTCCAATTCTCT